GAGTTGGCGACCAATAATATTCCACAAATTCTATATGGGATTTAAATTAGGGCTGCAGGGTGGCCAGTTTATGGTTTGTATTCCAAACTCGTCCAAATAATCACGGACCCACGTGCAACATGTGGTCGAGTATTATCATGCATTGAAAGAAAATTATTTCCTATGTAAGGAGCAAAACTACATGGTTAGACAAAATGTCTGTAATATACCTTTCACTCGTTAAGGAACCTGTTCGTAAAGCAACAAAGTCTGTTCTGGCTGTAAGAGATATGTGTATCCGGACGCACACGTCTATCTGAGCTATACAAGCAATACCTTGATTCATTAGTGAACAACACGTGCTCCCAGTCATCAACATTCCAGTTAAGGTGCTCTCTGGCAAATTGTAATCTACTTCTACGATTTACGTTTAAAGATGTTGCTCTGACTACTATCCTTACGTGTAGATCTTGTTAAGCGAGACGTCTTTGTATGGTGTTTCTAATAATTTGAATATTATGAACATCTGCCACTTGTATTTGTAAATGTCTCATTGTGACAAAACGTTCTCTTATAGCACGAAGCCTGATGAACTGATCTTGGCGTGGTGTTGGGAATCTTTCCCTTCCTTGTCCACGCCGTTTCGTATGGTCTTTTGTTTCTCGAAAACGTTGATTGACTCGTGATATTGTAGTATGAGATACTCCTAACCTCATGCCTATTTCACGATAACTTAACCCTACATCAGCTAAAGTAATTTCCTGCACATATTCATCTCGGCTCAGATATACGGCCAATGTCAAATAACTAACATATGCAAAACAGCAAACAATGTATTGCATTGTAAACAATATTGACAGTCAAATGAAATCGTAGGCTTCCACGGCCAGAGTCAGAATTATAGTTTATTCGTCTTCCGGGTTTGGACCGTGTCATTTGTGAGTGACCCAAAAGTGGGTTCATCTCGACGTTTCGCTACAATTGTATGTAGCTTCTTCAGGAGAACAAAAAAGAAAAAAGAAGGAAAGAAGAAAACAAAAGAACAGGAAGATGGGTAGTTAGCAACGGTAACTCAGTTACTCAACGCAACCAGAGGCGAATACTAACTACCAAGATGGGCATTTGGTCACAGTAACTCAACTACTCAACGCAGCCAGAGGTGAAAACCAAATGCCAGGACAGAGATTCACGTCCAACAGCTCAGAACACTAACGCGTCGAGAGGCGGGGAGTGAATTTGCCTCTCGACGCGTTAGTGTTCTGAGGATTCACTCCCCGCCTCTCGACGCGTTAGTGTTCTGAGCTGTTGGACGTGAATCCCTGTCCTGGCATTTGGTTTTCACCTCTGGCTGCGTTGAGTAGTTGAGTTACTGTGACCAAATGCCCATCTTGGTAGTTAGTATTCGCCTCTGGTTGCGTTGAGTAACTGAGTTACCGTTGCTAACTACCCATCTTCCTGTTCTTTTGTTTTCTTCTTTCCTTCTTTTTTCTTTTTTGTTCTCCTGAAGAAGCTACATACAATTGTAGCGAAACGTCGAGATGAACCCACTTTTGGGTCACTCACAAATGACACGGTCCAAACCCGGAAGACGAATAAACTATAATATTGACAGTCTAAAACTGTCATGTCAAATTGTTTAATTTTTTGTAGCCCACTAACTGCTTTCAATGAATGAGTATTATAATTCAATAAAATCACGTTATGCTTTGAAAGTACTTTTCTTTTTTGATAATAAAGATATCGATTCTCTTTTTTGTGAAAATGTTGAAAAAAATCTCGAAATATTAATAAGATGTAGCATTTGCTTCTAATATATTCCACAAGGTATTGCAAAATAAGATGAAAAAACAACTTTATTTTTACAGCCCGTATATGACTAAAACGTTGACATTTCCCAGAAAATATTAATACAGTAATTAAGTATAGGTTATTTCACGAATATACGACTGTTTTGGATTATTGTGACAACGAATATATTACTGTGCAAGTAGAAGTATGAAAGTAAATTGGTTTAATCATTATTCCAATAAAAATGATCTACTGTTAGTATGACATCTAAACTAAAATTATTTCAGTTAATAGATTTTCAGATAGACGCAAAATTTATTGTGAAATCTAATCCGAAAATAACAAAATTTTTTACGCAAACGCTCCTACAAATAAATACAATGACGTCTATGAAGCCAAATGTGTTCATCAGACGTTTGGGTTGAGTTTCGGTGAAATGTAAACATCAAAGAGGCGTGTCGGGTTTCTTTGATATTACATTATTTTACTACTTTATTAGGTACTACAACTAATAAAAAGAAATATACTACTTTTAATATAAATGAAAATAAATTGGCAGAACGATGGTTCAGAAACTAGAAAAAGAATCTAATATTTCACTTTGTTAGTTTTAAATATTTGTTTGTAAAAATTAACGAAAATTTACATACAGTTTTATATATCGCCGACTGAGTTTAGTTTTTAAAACCGCCCGTATATAGGTGTCCGGTGAAGAGAGATGTCCGTTAAGAGAGAGTTTAGTGTAGTGGTATTTGTGTATTGAAGCCAAAAATGCTGACACGTGTTTTAGATGTAGACAACTTTATATTTAATGTACTTTCTTATTTTACTGCTGAGAAAACCAACGAGGGCCCTTTGCGACTAGTTCAGTCCGTGCATAAACATGTGTGTGCTGCAAAAAGCAAAAAAAAAGTGGACAAAGTGAACAAAAATAATATTTAAAATTTAAATAAAAATTTATAAATGTATAAATAAAATTTATATTGTCACACAATATAAATCTCGCCGACAACCATAGACTATAGATCTTCCCGAACATGTTTCTTTAGATTCAGTGATACAAAAATTAAAAAACAGAAATATATTTGAAATTTCCAGAACAAGTCTCTGGAGAGTTTTAAGACAGATTGGCTTTAAGTTCAAAAGGAAGACAATAGAAAGGCTTTGTGTGAAAGAGATAGTGTCGTTCACAAAAGGAGAGGATTTTTAAGAAATTATAATAAATAAAAAAAAAAAAAAAGAATGTTCTTCCTTCGTTTATTTAGATGAAACATGGATTTTTGCTAAAGGCGGTATCAAACGAATTTGGCAGGACGAGAGTATAAAATCCATAAAACACATCGATAACGAGGGAAAGAGATATATTATTGTGCAAGCAAGTGGAAAACATGGTTTTATAGAGGGAGTAGATCTTGTGTTTTCATAAAAATCAGCCGATTATCATGACAATATGAATACGGATATGTTTGTGAAATGGTTCAAAGAAAAATTGTTGCCAAGTTTACATGAACTATCCGTTATAGTACTGAATAATGCTGCGTAACATTCGGAAATTTAAAATAAGCTACCAACAAACACCTGGACCGTAGATAAAATAAAAGAATGGTTAACGAATAAAATATTACATTTCCTCGATACTGTTTTAAGCCTCAATTACTAACGTTAGCTAAAAGCCATGCACAATATTATGCACAGTATAGTCATATATTTGGGGGATATGCAAAACATATATATATATATATATATATATATATATATATATATATATATATATATATATATACCCATATTGGATACAAGGGTTACAGTGACGAGGCAATCTTGGAAACATGGCAACGAGCATCGGATATTGCCACTGCTGAAATTTGGGAAAAAAGTGTAAAAAAATATAAAGATAATTGAAGAATGGTGAATCCGTGAAGGTCGCATCGAAGCAGTTAATCCTGTTATAATTTACCATCCGAATGTGGATAGCGACGACAGTGATTATGGCTGTGAATCTAATGGTTGATGATAGTTTTAGGAGAATAAGGGAATAAGTAAGTTTTTTTGTTTTTTAATACTAATTGAATATTCGACTAAATAAATTACACTATTTAATCAGATAAGTATTGTTACACTTCGTTTAACTCACTTAATTCAAAAACCAACTTGTTTACAATACTAAACTCAATTATAGTAATTATATACTTCAAAATCTGAATTACAACTGTTCTATAAACCATCAACTCAATATTTATATTATGACTTCATATTTAAATATAAGGTTTGTATTTGTCATAACAGTATTTTAAAAATGGGGAGAATTTACTATTGTACAATTCAGCACATTGGACTATTTAAATCGATACCTTAAACCGAATTTAAAACAATCGTATATTCGTGGAATGGAGTATACTTAGAAATAGAAGTGCAATGCGAAAAAAAAAATCATCGAAATCCAATTAAGAATTCAAAAGAAAAATAGCTTAAAATTTATGGTACAGTTGAGTTGGTGCGTTAATTTTGAAGACTAGAAAATCATGTAATGCTTTGGACGTACTTTTTTTTTAAATAGAGATATTGAGATGATTTTTATACGAAAATGTTGGGAAAGGAAAGTTATCTCAAAATATTAATAAGATGTAGCATTTGCTTCTAATTAATTCCGCACGGTGTTGCAAAATAAGATGAAAAAACAACTTTATTTCCACACACCGTATATGTCTAAAACATTGAAATTTCCCAAAAAACATTAAAAGGGTAATTACTTAGAAATAGACCTGCAATGCGAAAAAAAAATCATTTAAAATCCAATTAAGTACGGATATTGTTAAATTGTGGATATTGTTAACTCTTACATAAAATTCATATTGTTTGACAAACCGCGTATATGACTATAAAAATTTAATATCTAATGATTGTATTCTAGGTTTTAGATCATTCAGAACTTACAATCATCAGATATTAAATTTTTTCATTTTGTTTATTTTTCGATTATGATTTTATTTACTGTTATGATGACTTTATCCAAAACTATTCTCCTCTACTTAGCATAGAAAGAATTTTATGACATATCAAATAGTTGACTAAGGTATGTTATTACTCACTACATATTATTGCACGATCTATGTTGTAATTTTATGTACTTGTATTAGTATATCAGACAAATGTTTTTAGAAATCATATTCAGCTGCTCGTTTAAGGTTATAGTTAATATAAAAAAGTTGTGTTCATCCTTTTATATATTTCAGTGGGATACAGGTAGACAGTACAAAGAAGAACCCGTAATATTAAGTGGAGGTTTAAAAGAATTTGTGGAATGTTATCCATCGACAGTAGATAATTCCCATGTATTTCTAAGCCAGACTAATTGTGATATAGATGAGCTGCTTGATTTGGATAGTATAGTTTATCCAGAAGCTGGTTCAGTAGTGCAGATGAGATTAAAAATTCATGAAGTTCCAGTATCCGATTCGGAAGAAGATATAGTAGATGAATTCATTACAGAAGGACGTGAGGAAACATTTACTCCATCAGTCGAAAATTCTAGCAAATCCTTTGAAGTAAACACAGTAGTCATGCCTCCCGTTAATAAAGTTGGTGCAATAAAACCTAATGTAGACGAAGCTTCGGTCAAAGAAATTTTAGATAGTAATAAAGCTGCGATGTTACTTATGGCTAGAAAAGCAGCAAAACCAACATTTAATACAGAAATTCCTAAAGGACCTCCAATAATAAGAAAGTCATTAGATCGTAAAGATGTTAAATCGCAGAATGGAACCCGTTCCGTAGTTAAACCAATTGTGGATAGATCGTTTAAGCCCGATAATGTAAGTATTTAATTTAATAGTATATATTATATCAGAAATAATTTAGAGTGTAGCACAGATAAAGTAAGCTAATTATATATGAAATTTTATATTTGGAATGTTAAAAATTTTAATTTTGTTTAAAGTAAAATATTTTTTATATCACTTCTTCTTTAAGTGCCATCTGCGCGACGAAGGTTGGCAATCATCATGCCTATTCTGACCTTCGAGGCAGCTGCTCTGAACAATTGCCTTGAGCTGCAACCAAACCACTTTCTCAGGTTCTTCAACCAGGAAACGCGTCTTCCTCGTACGCTTCTCATACCCTCTATTTTCCTTGAATTATAAGTCTCAAGATGTTGAATCTTTCGCCTCTCATTACCTGTCCGAGATATTGCAATTTCCTTTCTTTTATTGTATTTTCCATTTCCCTCTCTCTGCCTATTCTCCTTAACACTTCTGCATTCGTGACTATCTACCAATGAAATCCTTAACAATTTTCTAAATGTCCACATTTCAAACACGTTGATTATAGTTAAGTATTCCGGTTTAATGTCTATGATTCAGCTCCATAGTAGAGTACACTGTGTATATAACATTTAATTAGCCTTATTCTGAGGGCCAATGTCAGATCTTTGCTGCATAAAATCTTTTTCATTTTTACGAAGTTGGCACGTGCTTTTTCAATTCTAACTCTTATCTCTGCAGTATAATCGTTATTTTCTGTAATTATCGTTCCCAAGTAAATATATCTTTTTACTCTCTCAATCTGCTGGCTGCCTACCGTTAGTATTTCATTTGTATTGTTGTTCTTGCTAATTTTCATGAATTTGTTTTTTTTTTGGTGTTAAGAGAGAGTCCGTATTCTCCACTATATCTTAATATTTTGTTCATTATTCTTTCTAAGTCTTCCAAGTTGTCGGCTATTATGACTGTATCGTCGGCATACCTAATATTGGTAATTAAACTTCCATTCACTTTTATGCCGACTGTCTCGTTTACCAAAGCTTCTTGTATGATTTCTTCAGAATAAGCATTAAACAATAACGGCGACAGTATGCAACCTTGCCTGACCCCTCTCCTTATCTCCACTTCTTCTGGCACTTCTCTTCCAATTTTCACATTTGATCGTTGTTCGAATGTTACATCCCTCACATCCAGATTCTTGTTTTTGAGTACTTCTAAAAGTCAGTCATGTTTTACTTTATCGAATGCCTTGTCGTAGTCTATAAAGCATACATAAAGATCTCGATTAACATCCAAACATCTTTGGGTTATCACGTTAAAAGAAAATAGTGCCTCTCTTGTGCCCACTCCATTCCGAAATCCAAACTGGGAATCACTAATATCCATCTCCAGCTTAACGTGTATTCTATTATGGATAATTTTTAGCAGAGTTCTTAAGGTATGTGACATTACACTGATCGTTCGATAATCACTACATTCTTTGGCATTTACTTTCTTTGGTAGACAAATAAATGTTGATGTCGGCATTTCACGTGGAATGATTCTTGTGGAATAGATTGTGTTCAGTAGTTGGACTAAAAGATCTATGTTTTTTTCATTGACCAGTTTTAGCAATTCACTTGGAATTTCATCTGGACCAGCAGCTTTATTATTTTTCATGGACTTTACTGCATGCATAACTTCTGACTTTGTTATTTCGGGTCCCTCGTCTTTACTCTGATTATTGTCATATATTCCTCTATATATTCTTTGCATCTTCCTAATTTTTGTTCCGTCTCCAAAATGTTTTCTTGTTTGTCCAATAGTATGCTTGAGTTTTTTTGTTTTGCTACCCCAGCCAATTCTTTAACTTTCTTATGCAGATTGAAATTATCATATTTGTTTTGTAAGTCTTCTATTTCTGGTAGCGAAAAAGTGAACTATTCTCAGCGAAATAAGTCTCGTTAGCTTCTCTTATTTTTCTTATTTGATTATGCAGCTGTTGATACTCTTTTGTCTTCTTCTGTCCTCCATCATTTCCAAGATTTCTTCTGTCATCCAATCTCCTTTCTTGCATCTGGTTGTTGTGAGTTCTCTGCAACTTGGTTCGATAATTGCATTTTTAAAGAATTGCCACTGTTGTTCTACATCACCATAAATTGATTCCGTTGTGGATTCTAGGTTTGCATTAATTTCTTTTTTCAGTTTTTCTTTGACGTCTTCTGATTTTAATTTTTGTATGTTTAGTTTATCACTTTTGTAGCTTTTTTGTATCTTTTTTAAATGAAGTTGGAATTTTGCTACAAGAGGATTGTGGTCCGACGCCACGTCTGCACCTGGGTACGCTTTCACCGATTGTATTGCGTTTCGGTATCTGTAATATCTTTATATCACTGAAAACTGTATTTACCATAAACGATCAGGTTTCATGTATATGAAAATATACTTATCTTATATGGAAAGTCCATAATTCTTTGTTGGGTCTTCTCCTTCTTCTTTTATATAGACATGACTCTGTTTTTCAATATGTCTCCAGTAAGTTGTCATTCCATCGGTTTCGTGGTCTTCCTACTGATCGTCTTCCTATTGAGGAACCGTCTCTTGCCGTCTTTACTACGTTATTTGTTGTCATTCGGTTTATATGATCGTGCCATTCTACTCTTTTATTTCTTACCCAGTGCTTGATGTTCTCCACCTTGCATCTACGTCGTATATCTGTACTTCTAGCTCTGTCCCATGGAGTTTTATCATTCATTCTTTTAAGTGTTTTTATCTCTGCTGTTTCTAACTTCCTTTTTGTCCTCTCTGTGTCAGGTTTTGTTTCTGCCGCGTATGCCATTATTGGTCTGATGACTGTTTTGTAAATTCTGCCTTTCGTTTCTTTCCCGATATTTTTATTTCTCCCTATTGCTTCATTTAGGCAGCCTGCGGCTCTGTTTGTCTATGCACCTAATCTTCCACTTCGGTTTCGAGATTTCCGTAGCTAGATAATATGATGCCTAGATATTAAAACTCCCATCACTTGTTCTATTATCTGACCTTCCAGCTCCAAGTTACATCTTAGTAAATTTTCTGGCGGTTATATTAAATTGGTGCAGCATATTAAATTGGTGCAGCAGTAAATCATCTTCACTTTGAGAGAATAGTATTACGTCGTCTGCATAGCAGATTATTTTAAGTTGTTTTTCTCCCATTTGGTATCCTTTTTTTTGTTCTTACTTTTTTTATTATTTCGTCCATAAACAGGTTGAACAATAGAGGACTCAGAGAGTCTCCGCCATTGTCAGCTTTAATAGAGGTTCTTCTACTTATACTTTTATTGTGTTATGTTGGTACTAGTAACACTAGTTGAGTATTGATCACTACTATAAATCGTCTTATATTCAACCAACAAGAAAAACGTTAAAACTGTTCATATTCCTGTTAATAATAATTCATATCGTTACCACGCTAGTGCGATATTATATTTTAACTTCGCCTTCGATTCAAAAATTACATTGTGATGTAATTTGTCAGCAATGATATTGAACTAACATATACAGGGTGAGTTTTTAGTGTGACGTTGGTCGATAATTCCATTATGGTACAGAGTATCCAAAAACGTTATTTATCAAAAAAAAATTAAGCAATAATTCAAGCAAGGAATAAATAGGGTAAAGGGGGGAATAGTGGCCGCCTAAGCATTTTAGTTTATTTATACTGCTATATTACATCTTTAACCATTATACTGTTAACGTAAATAAAACTTCAAACCTTAGTATTTTTAATTTTTAAACAGAAAAAAAAAATTAAAATTGTTTTTCAGACTTCTGCTGGTGGCCATATTTACCCGCTGCCGAGGTGCAAAAGTGGCCACTGCCACTATTACCCCCATTTAAAAAATAATTAAATGCAGAAATTTCAAATGTAAATTTTGCCTTCGAAACTGGTACAGTCTTTGTGTGTCTGTTGGCCGCAAATACTGCATTGGATCTAGAGTTCTCTGTTTTTACCGAATTCGTCATCATCCTCATCTTCAGATGATATATCTTCTGTGTTCTTATACAATTTCTTTTTGGAACTATTCGCGAAGGACTGGACTCTTCGATGCCTATTTTTCGTTAGGTTCCTTTGCTGACTTTATTTCTCGTTTGCTCTACCTTCTTTCGTTTTTTTTTTTCTTATAGAAGTAACTTCATTGGTGTTGATGTCATTATTTCGGAATGTTGCTTCCTGTCGCTTTTATGGTTGAATCTTATTTCCAACTGAGTCATCTTTTGAGCATCCTAGTAGTGGAATTATGTCAACAAAAGATACTTCAAACTTTTTGTCATGTGTCGAACTCCCCTTAACTTCCTTATTATTCTTCTCTTTATCTAATCCACTTTTTTTCTCTTGGTCTAGTGTCTTTTTATCTTTTTCTTGTATGAATGATTCACCTGGAGCAAAGCCTTCATCGGTAAAATTTTCAGGATTATATGGAAATATTCCTGTATTCTCAAAACCTACGAAGTCATTAGGATGACTTCGAAGATAATTGCCACATTCAATATTATACGATGATTTTAACGATAAGTAAATAAGCTACATCCAGCGGTTGGAGTCGATGCGTATGGTTAACATAACAATTCCGCGTTCTTTACAGAAATTATATATCTCTAATTACAGTGGCTACTGTGATTGTCGACGATTAACAAAACTGGATTCTCATTTGAAGGTTTTACAATACTGTAAAAATGCTGGAGACATTCGAGAAATATTTGCTCATTTATTCACCCATTATTCGAGCAGCAGTAGACTGCACCAAGTGGCTCATTTTTTTAACTATGGTTTCATCCTTTTGCGGATATAAATAAACAAAGGTGGAATATATGTTCCTGAGGAACTTATGCAGCACATAATGGTTGTTGTTTGACCTCTCTCTGCGCTTGTAATAAAGCCGACTCTTTTTTGTCCCTTTTCAGCAAGTATTTTTCCGGCGTTTTGGACGGTTGTTATAGTATATATGTCTCGTCTGCATTATGTATTCTGGATGCCGAAAATTTATATTTATCTAATATGGATTTTATATTAGTGAAAAATAGGTAAAAGAATTA